GGACAAAGCTGCCCTGGAGAAAATCAAGAGGGTGCTGAACGCACGAAGTGGAACGTTGATCCTGAACGATTCCTGGGCTCCGTGCTATCCTTTGGTAAAGGAATTCCAAAAAGTCGTCTCCAAAGACCCGCCGTCGGTCCTACCTGCGCGTCATAAGATCGACAAGGTTCCGGGAGCCAAATATTGCGTCACACGCCAGTGTCCTACGTTCAAGGAGCAGTATGAATTTATTCGTGCAAAGCACGATGCAGGACTGGTGCGTGAGAGCAAATCTCCCATCTGGACACCCACGTTTTGTGTCCTGAAGCCGATCGACTAGTGGCTATTCGTTCACGCTTATAATAAGCTAAGCACTGCAACCATTCCGGCACGCCGGTTTCTAGGAAGGATGCTCTCACAAACGATATGGTTGGCTGTACAAAGTACAGCGCACTCGACGCGGTCGATGTGGTATTACCAATTGCTCATGAGAGCGAGTGATATTCCGATAACAGCGGTGGGTACTCCGAGCGGGATGCTCTGGGAGTGGATGTTAATACCCCAAGGGCTATCAAATGCACCAGCAACATTTGAATGTCTTGTGATGCAGTAGTTCAGGCCCAACCGGGCATACTTTGACGACATCTTCGTCCATAGTCGTGCGGGGCACGGGAGGACGAATGTCGAAAACCACATCGTTCATTGAAGAGCGATGCTCGAGTGCGTGCGCACAAATAAGCTGTATGCTACTGCCAACAAGTACATCTTCGGCGCTGAAGAAACCCGATGGTAGGGTGCTTCAACCGAAATGAAAGGGAAGATTAACACTTCCAATGGCCTAAAAAAGAGAACGTGACCTTCGAGCGGATCCCGCTAAGATCGAGACCACTATTAGACTGGCCGATTCCAAAGAACCAAAATGAATTGCGTAAGTGGCTTCGCTTCGGGAATTACTCGCACAAGTATAGCGCAAATTATGCAGAAATGGCACGGCCATTGTCTCATCTCCTTAAACAAGAATCAGGAATGGTGTTGTGACGCCGAGTATCAGGAGGCCTTTGACAGGGTCAAAGACAGTCTCCTGCATGCACCAATACTAGCGTTACCAGACCCCGATTGTCCGTTTAGTATCGTCTGTGACGCTTCGGACTTTGCCATCGGCAGTGCACTGCTGCAAGCAGACGTCGAGTGGCGAGACCGGGTGATCGCGTTCGAATCTCGCCAGTTTAAGGCTGCGGAACAGAACTGCTCAGTCCACGGCAAGGAATGACATGCAATGAAGCAAGCATGTTTTAAGTTTAGGATGCACCTGCTTGGCTCAAAGCCGTTTGTGATCGACATATATCATGCGCCATTATGCACTGCGACTCAGTCGCCTCACCTCTAGCAGAGGATGACCAGGTGGCTCTCCTTCTTCGCAGAAAATTACTTCAAGGTGAAGTATAAGCCAAGAAAGCAGAATGCATTGGCTAATGCGTTGTCACGCAGACCAGATTATGAGCCTGTTCATGTCGTGACGGTGTCACCGTCAATGACGAATTTGTTCCACGCCTCATACGCGGGTGATGGTATGCACCTAGTGCTGCTACAGGCTCTCAGGAGCAAGGAGTTTGAAAACTCGGACAAGCATTTGTCGGCGCGATTGCGCGCACGGTTTCACCGATTCTCATTGAAAAATGGGTTGCTGTATTAACGAACCGACTCTACGGATACGCCACAAATTGTGGTTACTCCCGATGAGGATTTGAAATACCGTATCCTCAATGAGGCCCACGACACCCCACTCAGTGGTCGTCTTGGTCGTGAGAAGACGTACAGCTTAGTGAGGTGCTACTACTGGTGGCACAAGCTGTACAAATGGACGAGCACTTATGTGCGCTCATGTGAGGCGACTCAGAGGATAAAACCTTCTCCGAATGTGGCGGCGCCGCTGGCCAGTTTACCGGTATCATTCAGATTTGACAGTCCATGACTATGGACTTTGCGTTTGGCCTGCCGAAGGACTCGGCGGCCAACACGGGTGTCGGGATCTTTGTAAACCGTTTGAGCAAGATGGTTCATCTTGCGGTACTACCCGACACCATCGACGGTGTCGCTATAGCGGCGCTGTTTGTGGATCGTGTCTTTTGACAACATGAACTCCCGAAGTCAATTGCTTCTGATAGAGACCCACGATTAACTCGGAAGGTTTGGTCGACAATTTCCAGGGTACTGGGCACCAAGTTGACTATGTCGACAGCGGACTATCCGCAGACCGATAGTCAAACTGAGCACGTGAATCGCTTTGTTGAAGACGTCATCGTAGCGTCTGCGCTGAGACGCCGAAGCGCTGGCGCGCCATGCTGACACTTGTGAAGTTCGCTTTGAACAATGCAGAGCATTCACCTACCGGCTACACGTCGTTCTACGTGAATAAGCTTGTCCATCATCGCCTCTCTCTGACGCCGCCATCCCATCGCTTAGGGCTTGGTGAAGGAGAAATAGCCAAAGTCCGGTAGGCTTCCTGCCTACCGGACTGAGTGTCCTACGACACGTTTGAGATGCGATGGATAAACCCAACATATGCAGAAAGAATTTGCAGACGGAAGAAGCAGAAGAAATGTTGAAAGCATTGCAGTTGGAGACCTGGTTTTCTTAAGTGCTAAATCCTGCACACGCAGTCTCTGCTGTCTTTAAGACAAATCTCCGTCCCCGCTTTATGTGACCTTTTAAGTTTGTGACCAAGCGAGACCTTGCGTATACGCTAAAACTTCCGAGAAGGATCCGCACCCACCCGGCGTTTTATGTGGGCTTGCTTAAGCCGTACCGCGATCCGGCGCAAGTGATTGGCGCCGGGGCGGCGTACAAAGTTGCTCGGCTACCCAGAAGCTGAACCAGCCACTGATTGTGAGCACGGAGCGCAACAAATTCTGTTTTCAAAGGCGCCAAGAGCTTCACCGTCGCACGAAGTGACGTATTTGTCTTCTCAATGGCTAGAAGCCGCTTTGAGAAAGCGCAATAGCCCTCAAAGGGAGGCAGTCGATGCACAAAGTGCTCCAGGCTCTCGAGGTTTTCCGCACAGCGGAAGACGACCTCAGAAAGATGCTAGCGGAGTGCCATTGGCGACGGACTTTGTCCTCCAAAGCTCGAAGAGCATCGCGGGCAACCAGACTGCGATCGATTAATTCGGCATGGTCTGTCGCTGACTCTTCTCTATGAGACAGATGGTGTCCACTATCATGTGGAACTACTTGTGGGTCGACGTCGTCGACAGGGTCGAGAGAATATATTTTTAGATGGCGCGGATACCTCGACTCCGAAAAGTCGTGGGAGCTCGAGGTACCACTTCGGCAAGACAGCCCAGACATTGTGGCCGCCATTGATCGGAAGGATGATAATGCTCCGCGTCGTCGTGCGCCCCGCGCTTCTCGGCGGTAGCCCGGGAAAGCACAGGACCATAAACCGAGCTCAAGCTATGGCCCTTAGCTGCAGTGGTCGTAGACTCACCCGTGTATGAAACCACAAAGCTCGCGGGAGCGTGATGGATTATTCCATGTGTCGCAGGGCGACTGTATGCAGGAAGGCGGCTTTGCGCCATGGATTTGGCAAACTCAAATTGAAGATGGCGTTCTACGCGTACGTCCACTTTGTTGCGGCTTCGCTGTAAGGTTGACAGCGAGGAAAGTTTCCGGTGCCGCTGCACCAATCACTCAAAAATCTACTCATCATCTGCAGCGGCGTCGCCAGGGGCGAGCACCTCAGGGATCGTCCGCATTGCGTGTACACGAGCACCTTCTCTTTGAGCGCAAAGTCGAGCGCGGTACCTATCCATTGGAATTTCTTGAGAAGCGAGCTGATAGAGGCCGGGGGCCCGACTACGTAGACGTCTAACGATCGAGTGATCGAGTCTTTCACTTGAGTAACGGGATCCGCCAAGCAGAAGCCAAATTCCACACGAGGGTCAAAGACTGAACGCGGATACGAGCGCATGAGAGCCGCCCTGTGGGCAGCCTCCAATTACTGCTCTTGTTCCTCGTCAAGGTTATTGGCAGCACTACCACTTCTCCCGGAAGTCGAATGGTCGGAAAACTGAAACGGTATAACGAGTAGAGTTTACGTCGCGCCGTTGGCGCACCCCGCCCTCCTCTTCTTCACATCCTGGGAAAGGAGTATCCGACTTGTAGTCACCTTCCTTCAACTCCTACCACCACATCTTGGGGAAGGAGTACCGACTTGCAGTCACCTTCCTTTAACTCCTACCACCAAGCCCTCGGAACCAACGAGGCTGGGTATTTTCGTGCCATGGACACAGGGCTCATTGAGCAGTGAATGCGTGAAGACGGTCCTAAGGACGTTATAATGTCTCAGACACGTGAGCATCGTACGAGGCGACAATTTAATGTGAATTGTTAGTATTCACAATTTTTGATGTGGAAGAGGGAAACGGGGCTACACGTACCCTGATATGAAAGGGTGGATCACACAAGATTTTGCATCGTACAAAGGTGTCGGTTACACAAGTCAGTGGAATTACACAACCGTGTGGCTACACCGTAATAAGAAGCCGCTACGTGGCGTGACTGCCAGTGGTTATGCACATTAATTAGGTTCGACTATAATCAAGAAGACCTAAGGTTTTAGACTTATGCGGTTCTGCCGCAAATAAAACAAACAAATACAGTTTCAATTTTGAGCGGAAGAGTGTATTTGCCCTGGGATAAGGTTTGAGGATCTCTTGAAGTTAGCGGATTGCGATCTGCTACATTCATACTGGTTCTAGTATAGAACGTAAGGTCGGTGACCTTAGTAAGCTTCCTTTAAGCAAAGAGCTGCAGCAGCCCCGCTGCATTTATCATGGACAGAAGGCCGTGTATATATACTATAATAAGTAAGTAGATAAAGTTGTCGCAACGTAAATTTGGAGACAAACGGAAACCAATAAATCGACAAGAGAATTTATGTGCCTCCTATATTAATGATGAAAGGACAGAACAATCTATTCCATCAAAATGTTTTGTCAGTAGCTCAACAACTATTATACTCTATGGCGTCACTATATACAACAACGGAAAAATAATCACAACAATTTTTATTAATCTATTAAGTACTCTAGGTTTGTCAACATAACTTAAAACGTAGCGGTCAGGCGAAGTGCATTGCAGAAGCACGGACATGACAGCGTTCCTACCAATACGTTCATGACACAGAAAATTATTGTATTGAGGTGCTTCTAAAAGAGAAGCGTTTGAATTGTACAAGGCAGTGATCAAATACCTAGATACACTCTTCAATTGGCCTTTCTCTGCGCACGCTACTTCAACAAGCCTTTTGGTCCAACAAGATTTCACCCTTATTAACGACTGCAAGTCGAATAGTAGACGTCATCTTGAGAAACAACAACCACTTACTAAAAATATCCATGCAGGCGAATTTGGCGATAAAATGGTGCATGCAAAATACGAGAAACTGAGGATGGTTAAAAATTGGTGGATATTAGAAGACATTTAAACGCTTTGCCCAATCGACCACTGTTGTTTTTGTGAGTTCACTCGGAGACATTTGACCACGACCGCACACTGGGCATGAATTATGCTGTGCGATTGTTGTCACCATACTAAGCTATACTATCATGTAGCGTCGACGCAATGACTGGTCGAGACCTGGCAAAAACGAGTTTAGCTTGCTCATCTTCAAGCAAAAGATTTGCACTGACTATTTTTAAATCATTTTCTACCGCGATTATTTTATCATACCATCCTTTTAAGCACACTGAGCTGGTGTGGAACCTTAGGACCTTATCCGACTAAGTGTCTGGGTCTTTCAATCACATAAAAAAATTACCTTCCAAAATTGCTTTGCGAGTGCTTTAATTACCCCAGATATTGACACTTTCAGAAGTATCCTCTGCCCTTAGAACCGCAGCGGTCTAACCAACTCGAACCCCAAAAAAAAATCATTTTTTGGGTTCAGATTTGCTGACTGAATGCCGAGGAATGTATCACTCGATTCGTGAGTTAGTCTGAGTCCACGCCTCCTTACTTGTCTCACAGCGTTGCAAACTAGCTTCAGTGGAGTGGACGCCCGGCTAAAACGTCGATTACGCCTAATTTCTCGAAGTACTGAGTACTTTGCAGATGTTAAGGTGAACACTCATCATCTCTGGCCTCTGTTATAGATAGCCATGTTTGTCTTCGTACGACATCTATTACACCTGCGAAGTCGATCCCGGGATGCGCGCTATCACGGACAACCCTGTCTCTTCTACCGAACATTCAAACGTGAAGCACCGAGTTGTTAATGTCATCGGCGCCACGGCAACCTTGCATAGTATCAACGGGTCTAAAGTTTAATTAAGCCATGTATAAAAGGAGTAATAATTGTAAACACATGTTTTGCGCTAGTTAACGCAAACTCACTATTTAGGAGCAGCACGGTCCATCATTGCAGTCTCTCTTTGCAATTAGTCAGAGGATATCTTTTTAAAGCACATAATATTTTCTATGTGACCGTTTTTGTGGATGGTCAGTGGTAGGCATGTTCGATTAGGTCCCACGTATCTTGATGGTACTATAAAGTCATAACCTAAGATGCATATTCCAATGTGATACAATATCGACCGGCAAGCATCTTGGTGAAAAACTGTCAAGGAGCAATCTGATTGTATACCCACCGATTACATTTTCATGACAGCAGCGGGATGTGCCGTCTTGCTGAGACATTCCAATATGACCAGCATGGTCTCATTACTGATTTTTTAGTGTTCATATGAAGGGTCTGCGGAAAGTCTTCAAGTCGGCCAATGATGCCTTTCATATGGCGAACATTAACACGTCGTGTAACGGATATCGCCCGTTCGAGTACACACACTTTCTGAGGAAGGTTTAGGTCAACTGCGCGCCTCATCGCGTGTTACTCGCTTCCAGCGGGCCGTTGGCTTACATAAAGAGGAGAAAAGGCGATGTGACATATTATAGCCAATAAGCTTTTAACCTCCCTTAACTGATAAGTACTATCAGTTCCGTCAAACAGAACTGAAAGGGGATATACAACTATACAGCGTGTATATTTAATGTCGGACACGTACAGTATATGGTCCACATAAGATGTGAGTGTGATCGGACCTGATTCATTACTCGTCACACGTTTTACACGTATTGCTTACCTACTTATACATGCCGGTCTGCGAAATCATAACGCTCACCAAGCAGTATCTCTTTCGATTTTGAGGTGGCTAGCAAAAGGGGCACATAGTGTCTCGTACAGTGTTCTGTATTTGAGATCCTCATTATGAGGCATCACCACAGGATAAGTGTCTCTGGGCTAGTACTGTGATAGATAAAGTCTTGGTAAAGGCATAGCGGTAGAGGTGTCTAACCGAGTATTTGATTAATCGACACTTGAACTCAGGCACGTTTCCTCTTTTAAGCTCTCGGCAACGCAACAGATGTTGCATCTGACTCATACGCCGTACGTATTACCCCATCAATAGGCAACATCGCCATCGTGACATGCGAATTTGTGGTGGCGGGATGCGTAAGCGCAACCGCAACCAAAATAAGCAGTACAGGTGTGTATATCACCTCAAGGGTATATTCAAAAGAGAAAGATATTATCGGATCGTCCTTTGTAGGCGACATGGTGACTACATTGCTGTACACAACGATGCATTACGTGTATAGATCACAAAAAGATTAGGCTAAACAAGTGCATCCTGACACGACGAAAAAGTTTTTTTTTGCAAACAGCTCCAGTTTATGAATTGTTGTTTAGCTGCCGCTTTGAGCTTGCAGGACTTTAACACTATCACGCATGTACTCGGATTTAAGCCTGTGGTAAATGCTGAAGTATATCAGAAGTCGTGGATTGGTTGACCTGCATTCAAAAGAGTCAAAATATGGGTACGTATGAGGCTCTCTTTCACCGCCTCTTTCACCACGTCCCAATAGCATTAGACATTTCTGTTTAAAATATTGGAGAGGGGCGCGCCAAATTGACAATTTGCACTATACTTGTGCAAAGATTTGCCACTTTCTCAAATCAATCACTGGTCAGCCAACAATGGCGCCTATCGAAGAAGTTTGTGCCCACAGTTTGTGGTTTTTAAGTAAAAAAACAGAAAGAGGGATTCGTCAGCCCCAAAGACATAACTGTACGAATAAGAATTTGGTCAACAGCTTGTTAACATGCTTTTGTTCGTGCCATACGCGCAAGAAGCATTATGCTCAGGAGTGTATGGTTATGCCACAAAGACTGTCACATGCAACAGCGACGTTCAGTCGCCCGTCGGCATAGCTGTCCAAGCCACATGCACAAAGTTAAAGATGACGATGTAATTATTCATATTCATGCAGAGTGAAGAAAACCATCGAAATGATACATTCACCGCAGTGGGGATGATATCGCTGTTTCTCATCAGCAGTTGATAGTTTTTCTTCGCCAGGTCAAGTGCAGCCGACCTTGCTGTATTACCGCACATTCCTTCTTGGATATTTGCGTCGGGATCCTGGGTGCGACAAACCTTACGTCGGTCTCTTCTCACCACGTCATGGTTTAAGCAGAGCAACACAGGCAGTTTGTTACATAAAACTCGGTTCTGTTCTTAAAGGGCGTACCAGCCCAACCTCTGAGCGTCGTATACACGGGCTCTTGAGTCATAGCTTCCTTTAGGCAAGATGCACGGCAACCTCGTTTTAGCTCGGGCCGAAAAAATATCACTTAACTGCTAGCCTTCTTCTGCATACCTATTTAACAAACATCCGTCTTTCGTACTACATTTGCGGCCATCAACTAACAGCAAAATGTTTGAAAAGTTCTCAGCTCCTTTAGTGTATCAATATCTATTCAACACAGAATCATTTACAACTAAATTATCGCAAAATAAGCATTATATTGATTTTGTCAAATTACCAATTCAGTTTAGATTTGCTGTGATCTTTCCAAATATATTGCGCGACCATTTGTCCACAAAAAACCAATATAAAAATGGACAGAGCAGGTCGAGACGCATGAAATGCTGAGGTATTTGCTACGAAAATGTTGAAGAATTTGATATGAGATTGTAGCGAATACTTCAACATTTTATGTGTATTGAATATCTCTGCCACAAGCATTTACAGCAGAGTTATTCCACTCCGCACGACTATTTCTATCACGATATTTTTGCTCCTGTTCTTCAAGAAAGGAGACAGTCGCTGATAACGATACTCGCAAATTATATTGGGGCTGACAATAAGAACTTTTGTTTCACTAAATCAAAAACGAATATGCACATAAGATTTGCTGCACATGCTTCAAAATTACTTTCTAGCTTATAAAATTCGTAAATGTGAGACCAGGCTCATTTAGCATCCGCGATTTCATTCTCAAGGTAAGTCAAGTACATGTATATATTAGTTGATTAAAGCATACCCAATGTGGGCCGATAAATAGCTAGCAAACAAGTCCATTAAGCAAGCACAAGGTAGCCGGCCTATGTCAGATGTTGCCATTGCAAATCTTGATCAAATATTCATTCTTGGCGTATGAGAGTCCTACGGCGAATCGCTTACATTTTGTGTTGTCCCTGATTAGAGCACTATCTTTCAGCGTTTGATCGATGGTTAAGCTTCATCTTAATTTCACTGATGTACCGTGATGACATTATCTAAACGGATTGTATAATAATTTGGAAGGTTGATACGATCACAAATCTCCTATGGGCTCCACTTGGAGGTGCAAGACTGTGTCTTTCCGTACTGCACATATTGAGTATGCCAGAAGCTGCAACGTCCTAGATATAACTGGAAATCAGGAAAGAAAACACTAGGCTGCGTGTTTGCGGTGTCCGTACAAGGTCAGCGTGTGGACAAAATCGACGCTCGTGCACATCATATCGTGCTTTCGCAAAGTTAAAGGCGCGGGAAACATAGACAAAGTATAATTTGTCCATTTCTGTGTCTATCGCGTTATACTATGGATTCGATAGCTTTAAAAGTGCTGCTGACGTTTTAGTCTGGTGCAACTTCAATTTTGATCTGTAAGCCGATTATCAAAAAGAAAAGCATGTGACTGTGGGAGCTATTTGCCATATAACATGGTAAAAGTGTCATTCCAAAAAAACCAGGAAGCACCAAGAGCAATCAATGATGTATTAATTAAACATCCAGGATTATTGTTGATGCTGCTGGCTGCCGATTTAACGATCAAAAACATAATAAAGCAGGGCTGATCTAATTATGCCATTCTCATCTCAGCGTAAATCTGTGTGTTTTTACGAGTTGTGCGACTTTCTTGGTGTTTCAGACATATGCTTTAACAGATTCAGCCTGACAAATTGACTTGATAGTACTTAGGGCTCGAATCCTTACGCTAAACTCAATTAAAACAAGCAGATGTCAAAGTCCTACACTAAAATATTTTATAAAAAATGGCATCGATTGACGCATTGTACCTTAATGCAAACTTGTTTTTCCTATTCGCGACATTTTCCAAGAGCTCTTTTTGGCGTTACAGGTAGTAATATCAACTCGTAACAATAGCAGAAAGGCGCTTGTGCAATTGCTAAATTGTAAGTTTTCGTCTAATAACTGTAAATGAATAAGGTCAAACATCAAGAAGAAACTTAGCTGACTATGAAAAGAAAGTCGAAGAGCAGTATCAATTCTGAATCGGAAATTTAGACCGCAAAAACGAACGTTGTGACAAAGAGGGACAAGTCGTGAGTAACTGCTCGCTACATATGCAGTATTACTTATTGCTTGAAGGCCATTTTTCGATTCGATGGTGGCAGTCACCGAGTACATTTCGCCTGCGGTTGTGGCTGTATGTGGACGGTTTAATGCTGCCAATGATTTTGTGCTTGAACACGTAAACGCTTATTTTGACGTATCGCCACAGTGGAATCTATTGCGTGCGGCACTTACCGGGCATCTTCACTTGGTGCAGCGGTTAAGTCGGCGCAACCCCAATAAATTTCAGCGGTGCTGCGAGGAAGCCATGGACTCGGCTGCTGAATTTGGTCATCTCGCTGTAGTCCAGTGGTTGCATTTTAACAGAAAAGAAGGCTGCACTACCGACGCCATGGACATGGCGGCCTGCAATGGTCACCTGGAGATTGTGAAATGGCTTCACGCGAATAGGAAAGAGGGCTGTACGAGTAACGCCATTGATTTTGCAGCACAAAATGGTCACTTGGATGTGGTGAAGTGGCTACATTTAAATAGAAACGAAGGCGCCACACATTACGCAATGGATAACGCAGCAACTAGCGGTTATTTAGGCGTGATTGAATGGCTGCATGCACATAGAAACGAAGGCTGCTCCCAATCGGCTTTAATAAATGCAATTAATTCAGGTCACGATCATGTGTCCAAATGGTTGGTTCTCAACCGTAGGATGGACTGCGTGGGCAATATAGGTTTCATTGAGTATGCAGCAAGGCGTGGTTACTGGAATGTCGCTGCGCTGACGACTAATAAGCCACATCTATTGGAGCTCATCGATGCCAGCAGATATTGAAAAAAAATTGAGGTTATGCTGAGTTTTTATAACTTCAATAAATGTCTAGGGAAATTATTTTCTTTTAGAGCACAATTATTGGTTTGCATCGGGCATAGTATTTTTGTAGCATACACATCATCACACCCAGAAGTTATGAAATTTGGAGATCGTACTTAAGTTATCGCCGTGATGAATAGAATATTCCAATTTCCGCAATGATCAAGCTATTCTTGACCTCGACATCGTTTGTGGTTTCGTTTGCAACAACTACTCTCGATCTAACCATATATTTTGGCTGCTTCTAAATCTAAAACGATCTAATGCTATTGTAATAGCAGAGCCGTCAATGTTACTGGGAATGTAACGGAGTTAGTGCTCTTACACATTTGGTACTGTACTGTACAAAGATACTTGAGAACGACACCAAAGTGCAAAGTGAATTCCATACAGCCATACCGTATAGTACAATACCGTATAGTACAATACGGTATGGCTGTATGGAATTCACTTTGCACTTTGGTGTCGTTCTCAAGTATCTTTGTGCGAAGCGTCACAAAGGTAAACATAGATGGCAGATCATTGAATTAAACGCTGCTGGAGCATTCGATAGACCTCGTGGCATCTCTAGCCACTCTTTTTAAATACTGGACGGTGCACTAACAGCCGTCAAAGGAACGCCCTTCTCCCACATCAAGATTAAGTACTCTTCTGGGACCCAGTGGGAGCCCCGCTCCTACTGGTCGCTTTCTATTTTTACCCTTGGAAGCGTTCGAACCGATTACCATTATAGCGTCCGCGTTTATCTGAACGAGCACCCTGTGTCTGTTGCCGACTCGGCAAAGACACTCTGCAGTTCTAGGCAATATGAACCGGCTTTCCACAACGAAAACACTCTCCATCGTTGCTAGGACGCTCGTTTCCGGGCGTAGAAATGTACAAGATGTCAATTAGCTCTGGGCCATCACTTGTACCGGTTGACTGGTGCGCATGCCTTGGTGCAAAGCCATTGACCTTGGCTTGCTTGATGCTGAACTCTTCTTGCATCGCACGGTTGATGGCATCATCCAGCGTCTTATATACTTACGGAACAATTGATTCCGGATTGAACCATCATTCAATCCCGCCATGAACGTTACAACTTGCGTTGACACGTCAATTGGCTCATCGACGATGCTCGATACCAAGTAGCGAGCACGCTGTGCATACGAGTGTAGGTCATAACGACCTTCAGAACCTCGGCATGGACACGGAAATCACTCTGTAGTGGTTCAAACGCCTTCTATAGCCCCAATTGGAAATGTTTGTAGCTAGGAAAGCAGTTTAGATTGGCTAAACGCTTCCGATACGCCCAACTCATCGCAGATATTGCGAACAAAACTTGCTGCAAGGGGTCTCGCAGTTGTTTTGCAGTGATTGCTGCATCCAAGTCGACAAATCATCGTGGGAGAGGCTCGACCTCTCCACCACGGTCAAGGATACGTTCCATTTATGAGGCATCGTTCTGTACGTAGAAACAGGAGATGCGACCTGCTTCCGAGATTCCATAATCTCATGATGCATGAAACTGACGGCTGCGTTCTTCTGGTCATCCGGATAAGACGACTGCGGGAGGCTGACTACTGCAGCTTCTACGATGACTTCTCGCATCCGCAAGTGCCATACACTCATGTGAAGACAAATGAGGAAACTTCTCATTCGCCAACACCTCAGTTTGCGGTACTGATGGACCGAGTGGTACCCCAACTCCTTCCAGGTCAATAGGTCAAGGACAAGAATATGGCTAGGACTTGAATGCGCGAGTCGCGTCGTCAAAAAAAATCGAGTGTCGCTAAAAATACAGCTCTAAGTGCTACCAGGTGTAAGAGGGCACTGTTCACAATCAGTCCATCAAACACATCACACGCTTGTACGACGAGGAAGCGATTCCCGATGTGGAGGGAGAAGGACAGTCTCGGCTCGGAGGGAAGAAGAATAACTTAGTACCTTAAAAATAGACTTTAAACTGCATAAAAACGGGTTATGGTTCCTAGCTAAATGCAAAACACCCCAAGGGCTCTTGGAGGTTTAAAATGATCAGACCTTGGTTTTCTGATTGATAAATCAAGGGTGTACTGAGGTTAGATCTCATTTTCAACTAATACTAAATCTTAGTAGTCACTTCTACTGGATACCTTCCACTAAAGTCAAGCTCAAGATTCCGAGGTGGGTGGCTTAAGCAGTCCCCTGTACTGGATACCTTCCACGAAAATTAAAGTTTAAGCTTTCGAACTTAAAGCTGCATATACTCAAAATCTTTTATTAGCTAGAAATGAAATTCAACCTCAGTACACCTTTGATTTATCATTTGGGAACCCAAAGTTTTATTAGTTTAAACCTCTAGGAGCCCTTGGGGTGTTTTGCGAGTAGCTAGAAACCATAACTCATCTGAATTCAAATGCAGATTTACCTTTGAGGTACTAGATCAATCTTCTTCCCTTCAAGTCGGGAACGGCCTTCTCCCTGTACGTCGGGTATCACTTCCTCGTCGAACAAGCGTGTGTGTTGTGTGTGAGACCGTTTGTGAACAGCGCCCTCTTACAACTTCAATGCCAAAAGCCCTTCATCGTGGATAGAGTACTTCTTCTGCTGGTTTAAGCTGTCGCGATTGAGACGACACGGCACAATCGAGTCCTAAATGAGTCTTTTTGCAAAAATGTACAACCGATTGCAAACTCAGAAGCATCGCACACCTCGCTATACGGTTCGTGTCATCTAGCAAAGTAAGTAATGGTGCTTCCAACAAGCTGCTCTTAATTTAAATGAATGGTTCATCATAAGTAGATGACCACTCCCAGGGTACGTCGTTCTTTAGCAAATTTGATAGTGGGTATATCATTCAGCGGGGCTGCCGTAGCGTTTGCTAAGAGGATGCTAAGCTAAAGTCGCCGACCTTACGTTTTTCAAGAGAACCAGTACGAGTGTAGCGGATCGCAATCCGCTACCTCCAAAGTACTTAGCAACCTTAACCAAGTTAAAAGACGCTCGTCCGTCAAAAATTGAAACTGTATTTAATTGTTTTAGTTGCGGCAAACCGCTGATATCTAAAGTTCTAGGTTTTTTTTTATTAATATGATATTATCTAATGAATATAGTAACGAAGTATTCGAGTTGTCAAACCCCGAACGTGTATCGGATAAGAGTCCCGATGGCTCGCAAGCTGAACGTGGAGTGGTATGAAATCACTGGACACTGCTCAAATATTGAAGCAGTTGCTGAATGCCAAGATTGGCTAAGGGCCGAGGCATCGAGAGCGAGGCCCCATCGATGCGCATGAAGTAGCACGTAATCTACTGAGCTCTGCTTACGTTTCGAAGCAGTTGCTGCATGTCAAAATTGGCATGGTCGGACCAGGTCCGAGGCATCTTGGGCAACGCCCTTCTGATGCGCATGTAGTGGCACGATATCCACTGGGCGAAGACTTTGTCAATAGCAGCTCTTCGTTGGATGTTGTTGATAAGAGCAAGGCTCCAATAGAGCAGGGAGTGGGAACACTGGATGACGCTTGCGAATATCTATAATTCGCACTTTACTCTCTCCCCATACGGGGCTCGCGTGTATGAGACACCATTACGTTCTTAAGAATATTCCTGAACATTCTCCGCGCAACGAGCTCTGTGTCTATGACACGAAAAACATTCAGCCTAGCTGGTTCCAAGGGCGCCCGTGGGCAAAGCCTTTCTTCTGCTTCTGCACGGGGTGCATCTCCGTACAGTACGTCCGCAGCTTTACGGGAAGCACGTCCCAAGCACTCGGCAAGTGACTGCTACACACTGCGCCCGGCCCGAGCGACGAATTTCCGCGTCGGGAATTTGGTGGAAGTCAACTACGAGTCGAATAATCCTTCACAGCATGGAAAGGCGAGGAGGATGAGGTGCTCAAACGGCGCGACTTGAGCCCAGCTCAATCCTTCGCGGACACCGTGTCCGTTTCCCGACTTCTC